TATATATATATATATATATATATATAAAGAAAAACTCAAAATCAATGACAATGCTCTTACCCCACAACCTGGCTAAATCCAGAAACAGGAGGAAACTTAAAGGATAAACCCAAAATAAATCACCACTTGTCTCTCTACACAGCTTACTTTACACATAAAGTTATGTGTAATTAAAGGGTCACGAAACACCAAAACACATTTTTTGAGCTGTTGACAGTCGTATATGTGTCCCACACTGGTAAAAACACTATTAGGACACCTATATTTCACTAAAAAGTGTTAATTGGTTGTTTTTGCGTTATTTCAAGCAAATTTGTACTTCCGGTTTGAAACTAATTTTTGAAGCAGCGTCACGGTCATGACATAATAGCGTGTATTCCAGCGTGCAGACTGGGCATCTGTGCCAGAGTGAGTCTTATTACGTCTTACAGTGTGATGCATTAATGAATGAGTAAGACTTGGTTCAAACCAATCAGCGCGCTCTATTGTGCAACTTCATTAATATTCATTAATGTCACCGTGTTTAGACGGCAGAGACGCCACGTTGTGTTGGGAAAACAAGCGTGAAGTGTTGCTTTTATAGTTTGCTGCAGTTAAGTTTTGTTTTCATTTTCTCTCTGTGAGAGCTCAGCTGGAGTTACGTGTGGATTAACAGTGTACGCGACGCTCGACAACAATAACTTGCGTGTCTAAGGAGGAACATTGTTTACCTGAGAGCTGTTCTCATCTGCAAACGCTGAGATCCGGATTCGCTTGTAGTCTCCTCTTAATAAAGACGCGGCTCTAGTTGCTGGTGATTGTCCTGTCTCTACAGATTTGGTAAGTGAGCGACCAGCGCTCTTTGTTTATTCAGTTTGTTTGTATCGAACTAAGTTATCTATTACACCGAGTGTAAACATGTTAGCACCACAACCAAACTTTAACCTCGTGTAGGATTTTCACTGCATTTTGTGACCGGAATAACACACATGGCTTTCTGACGTTAACTGCTGTGTGCATCTAAGTTTCCGGGAAATGCGGAGGGTTTTTTTCTCTCATTCGCGGTGCGGAATCAAACATTGCATGAAAAATACACTCTTAGAGCAGTTCCTCGAATCAAATATCTCATTTGTCGCGAAGGGCATGACTGAATTCCTTGAATTAAAGTGCCAAATTGCAGTTAAAGTCCACCATTTAATAATTTGGCAAATCATTCGAATACTGATGTCCATGTAAACACAGTCACTTTCTCCCGTGTGTGTGTGTGTTTTGACTCTGAAACTCAGCGGGTGCCCAAATAGACACTCCCAGACCATCCCTCTTTAGTACACTCCCCCCTAAACAGAGCTGGAAACGCCCACTTTTCTGACTTTTTCCAGCAGGTGTGAAAACACCCTGCTGAAACGAGGGGGTTTCATGGCCCTTTAATTATCAACAAGCAAAACGACTGCATTCTGACAGCAAACTGGGGTATGTGAACTTACACATAGAGGTAAAGTTGGTTTTATAAATGCACATTCTGACTTTCTCCTTAATAACATCATTTCATAAAAGTAATTTTTGCAAACTCTAAATAGCAAAATCATATTAGCAGCCAATGACTATCAAAGTACAACATTGTTCACTGTTAAATAAACAGTGTTAATGTTGTTTTCAAGTCACACTTGCAGGTTAATTTAGACCGAATATTCAAAGTGCCGTGGTAAACACTATAGGAAGTGTGTCACAAGTTGTCACTAAATCAGTGTGTGAATATAAAACCAACTTTACCTAAATAACGTACACTTTCACGTCTCATTCCTAGCATTCAGTGTCCGCAGTTTAATCAACCATACTGTATATAATATGTATGTGCATATATTCAGCTATGATGAAAAAAAAAAGTTTGTTTGTTTCGACACGTTTTTTAAAATATGTGGCTAACAAATAACTAATCTTGACATTTTCTAAGAAGAAGATTTCGTCGAAGATCCATTAGAAAAAAATCCTTAGTGTTTAGCTGCGTATAAGTAAAATTTCATTACTAATGGTCTTAAAAATTGTTAAATTTGACTTTAGGAAACCTGCAGAACGCTGAGGTCTGTTTAACATTTGTTTGTGTGCGTCACATGACTAAAATGCGCCATCGTTTTCGAAAGCCTATATTTCTGCAGTCCACACTTCAACGAAAACTGCATTTTTCAAATGTATCTTTGGACAGCATTTTTATAAAGATTCATATTCATTTCTCAAAAACGGCATCTAAGTATGAACGGAAGGCTGGAATGGAGAGAAGTTTTTGAACGAAAACTTATAAGTGTGGACATTGAGGCTGATTTATAGTTCTGCATCAAGCTGCAGCCTTCACGCGGTAGCATAGCCCTCTCTGTGGCTGACGCTCTCCTCGAAAAAAAAAATGTAACTACACTTCACAACGACACATAGCACAAGCTATGTTTTGGTCAGCTTGGTAGCGCTGAGCAGTGCGGGTGGGGGTGAGAGCCGCACGAACCTGTTGGAGCGAATGTTTACGAGTGTGGAGTCCTGTGAAGAAGCTCCAGAGGGAAATTTTTGTTTTGTGTTTACTGTTTACTTTATGATTAAAGTTGTTGCCAGTAACCGCTTCTGAATAAGCGAGTTTTAGCTACTTCTACATTAAGGTAGCATTCAGAAAAAACAAAACACCAGCGAAGAAACTCAACACAGAGGCACATAAACACCTTACTGCTAGCTAGTGTTTTGGAAGTGTTATTGCAAAGCAATATAAACAGCGCAGAATTATAAATCAATGGCAACGTGCAAAGCAGGCGTCGTGTGTCTCGCCGATCACTCGACGCAAAAGTATAAACCAGCTTTAGTGTGGCCTTAATTGTAGCTTTTCTAAGACTTAGATGCAGTTTTTGATGTTTTACAGCTTCCTGTGAGTGAAGCCACTAAGTGCTTGTGCTGGTCAAAGTTTGTATGTTTCTATGGAAACAAGCAGCTCACACACAGGTGCAGGATGCAGGACTCAGAACAGGTGTGGAGCAGGATGGCTTTCCCTTGTTCACACCTGCTGGAGCAATTCAAGAGCTCTTGTGATAGTGCAGACCACCTGCCCTTTCATTTAGAACACACACACACACATTTTTAGAACACACATTTTACATTCACATATTTAGAACACACACTCTAAATTTATACCTTTAGAACACACACTCTAAATTATTATGTATTTAGAACAAACATATATTTATTTTCATCTCAAGTCATCTTTACAAATCCAATTAAAGGGGGCCCTAAAGCTGGTCTGTGTCTGCTCAGAATTCAGTGTAAAGACGCTATGCTTCATTAAATGTTTATGTAAATACACAATTTTTGAAAATGTATGCAGCTTTAGATTTGATTTCTGTCCTCCCTTTGGTATGTACAAATGGTTTTAGATCTGGAATGGTTATGACTTGAAGTCACATAATTTGCAAACAGAAGGAAACAAAAGAACAAGAACAAGGCCGCTTAACTGCTTCATATTTTTGTGAAAGCAATGATAAATCTTGCCCTGGGATTTTTTGATGAACAGAACACAGAGCATTTATTAAATATATACAGTCAAGACCAAAATTATACATCCCCCTGGCAAATTCTGACTAAAAGTTACTTTAACCTGCAAGGTTTTTAACTGGAAATGACACACTTCTCGCAAAAAAGGCAATAGAATAAAACACATTTCTCAGCTATTATTTAAGTTTGAACAAAAACTTTAAGTCAGAATTTGCCAGGGGTATGAATAATTTCGAGCTTGACTGTATATAGTAACATAAATGTCCTGACTGTCACTTCAGTTAAGTTTAATTGGTCTTTTATGAATAAAAAAAAATTTAAATATATAAATTTAAAATATACACTCACTGGCCACTTTATTAGGTACACCTGTCCAACTGATGGTTAACGCAAATTTCTAATCAGCCAATCACATGGCAGCAACTCAATGCATTTTGGCATGTATATATATGTATATATTTATATATATCTTACTTTTGGATTCGGTGTATCATGGCTTCCACATAAAAAAAATTTGAAATAAAACTAATTTAATCACTAATAATAATCAGAAATGTTTTAAATTAGCATGTTAAAATAATTTCTGAAGCATCGGGTTACACTGAAAACAATCAGTTTTGCAATGCATGAATACATTTTTGTTTAATAAATATTTAAAATATATAAAACAAATTGTATTGTATTTTACAATATAACTAATTTTATTGTATGTCCATGAAATGACTGCAGCCTTGGTTAATTTAAATGCTTATTTAAAAAATATTCTCTAGTGCATCGACATATAGCACCCAGGTGCTCGCGGCGACCCGAGTTCGATTCCCAGCTTGAGGTCCTTTGCCAGTTCTTCCCCTCTCTCTGCTCCCCATATATATATAGCACACAGATGAAGTCAGAATTATTAGCCCCCCTGTTTAACAACACATTTTAAACATAATAGTTTTAATAACTCATTTTTAATAACTGATTTATTTTATCTTTGCCATGATGACAGTAAATAATATTTGACTAGATATTTTTCAAGACACTTCTATACAGCTTAAAGTGACATTTAAAGGCTTAATTAGATTAACTAGGCAGGTTAGGGTAATTAGGCAATTCATTGTATAACGATGGTTTGTTCTGTAGACTAAAGAATCATGGGGCTGATAAAATTGACTTTAAAATGGTGTTTAAAAAGTTAAAAACTGCTTTGATTCTAAACAAAATAAAAACATATAGGACTTATACACATACTAATATACACTGTAGCACTAAAACTGATTGAGAGTGAAAATGAGGACATGAACTCTGTTGTGAAACTCTGTTGAGTCACAGCAGCTAGGAAATATTTAAATTAATCTAAATGCCCATTATATAGAGCGAGAATGAGGAAAAGCGAGCGGCAGAACAAGAGAGAGTGTGTGTTAGCCTGAAGGCAGGACTAAAAGAACCTGCTTTGTGACATCATCTCTGTGGCTTTGATCCTGATTGGCCGAGAGGACAGCAATAATGAGCCTCTGAGGTGTTTGAAAGCGAGCGAGAGAGAGAGAAAGAGATGTTGTTGTTCTGCTGTCAGTGTAAAGTCACTTTTCTCTATTAATACTGAATGAGCGCAGTTGGGATTTCTTTCCTGTTGTTTCGGATGTTTAACAGCAGCTTTGTTTGAGTCGGACACTTTTGGTTTTTGGAGAAATAGCCACATTGACAGTCCATCAGTGAGACAGGTATAATAATACCCTTCACACACACACACACACATCTATGTTTTAAAACCGGTAGACTTTGTTTGTTGTCACATTTGAATGCATTTATATAATCTCTCTACTGTTTAATTAAGTGTCGATTGATAGTGATTTATGTATTGTTTTAGAAAATGGCAGCTGGAGAGCAATGAGAGTGAGTCAATCTCAAGCCATTTAAAACCACATTTTTATGATTCCTAAATAATTGCTGTGCATGCAGTTTATTAATTATGATACCATATGAACTATTTATACTGTTAAAATGGAGTAATCACATTATATGACTGTTTAAGGGCCATTAAAGGTGGTGAGAATCGAAAAATCTACATAATAACAAAAATATTCTGAAATCTCGCTGTTGTGAAAAGCAAAACAAGTTTATCTGCATGTCAATCAGCTGACAATTTGATGAAGCTTCCAGATGCGTTCGGCTGAATGTTTAACAGTATTGTGGGTGTGAATAAGATCATATTGTGATGGGTTTGACATTGGTTGCTGCGATGTTGTTTAGTTTTGCATGTGAACTTCTCATTTCCATATGTAAATATAAGGCTTGTGTGTGTTCAGTTTGTTTTGAGTACACTACAATAGATGGTTCACTGATACAAATATTAAACCGAGTTTTCTGGCTCAGTGTTTTCCCATTTATTTTTTCCCAAAGGGGTTTAAAAATACAATTATTAGAAGCCACAAACTTGATATGAGTACAAGTATATGAAAATAAGACAAATGTGCAACATTGAGGAGCTACAATATCACAACCGACTCAAAATCAACGGATGAATATATAAAACTGTGCATTTAAAAGTTTCAGTCGTGTAAAAATCATTGAACAATATTTCAAACAAACTATTTCTACAAATTTTATACCTTGCATTAAGAGTGTGCGCAGCTAAATGTCTATTTAGTGCACTTTGTTAGCTGCAACCCTCTGATTGGTGGGATTTTAACACAGCATTATGGGTAATGTAGTTTTTCCATTAATTCCGCTCGTTATTAAAACAATACTGGAATATTGTCAATGAGTGGTTTCAACAAAAGCACACACAATCAATTTAATCACTTTCCAAATAGAGAAAGTGGATAAAGGTTTACTTTCAGAACTGTAGTGTGCAGTTTCAAAGCATCAAACGGGAAAATATCATCTTAATTTGTAAAATTCAGGCTATTAGTAATACAAACAATTGCATCATTGGTCAGCTTAAAATGGTTTGATGTTGATTCAGTTTATAACCACAGTCTAATATTATTTTATTTCATATATATTTTAGTATAAGTAACATTTATTCACCATTTAAGTAGGTTCAGTGTTTCAATCTACTTTAAATGTAGCAACTGTAACTGGGTTACATTCAGGGCCGGATTAACCAATGGGCATTATGGGCACAGGCCCACTTGGCGCCCCTACAAGAGGGGGAAAAGTGCCGATTTTGGAGTGTCTATTTAAGCTAAGTGCAAATAACGCACCTCGTTGGAATAAGCTGGTTAAGCGATTCCACCCATGACTGTTTGATTGACAGAGACAACATAACTAAGAAGCGCAACAAACAGCAGCGTGACTGGCGTAGTTCGTAAAGCGCATGGCAACACGTTTTGAACCTGGTTCAAAACCTGGTTTTGAATCCAGTGTCTGATAAACTCATTCTTCTTATTTCCCCCACTACATATCAGATTTTGCCTACTCTTCATCACAAGGAAGACAAGTAGTAATCATTAAGAGGTGTTTGTATTATATAAGACTCAGATTCATAGAACTGGATTGCAGAGGTGTTATTTCCAAATCATATGCATTATAATTTTGTAGAAGTTATACATTAAAAATAGCCATAAATATATATTTTAATACTGATTCTGTGAACTTGAACAAGTATATTTATTTTCACTAGTTGTATTGGTATTTTTTTCTCAAAAGTATGCTTTAAATGATATACAGTACATATATTTCTAGTCTACAAATATTAAACTTATTTTTATTTTTAAAATGTGAGCAATACATTATAGATTGTTAATTATAAAAATATTATATAAATCTAATTTTTTTATTCAACTTTAGGGGTGCGGCTAGGTAGGGGGCCTGCAAGGCATTGTGCCCAGGGGCCTCCAAATTCTTAATATGGGCCTGGTTACATTTATTCATTTAGCAAACACTTTTAACTCCCTTAGAGTCCCTTAGAGTGTTTCATCATTTTTGAACACATTCAGCTGATTTCCATGTCTAGTGGGAGCACTTTAAGCTTAGCTTAGCATAGAGTATTGAATCGGATTAGACCATTAGCATCTCACTTAAATATTTCAGCTACAATAGGTAACTTTGTAGGTAGGCATGGTCCGGTATTACATTCTGACAGTATGATAACCTTGCATATAAATATCATGGTTTTACGGTATCACGATATTGAGATTACTGCTCTAAAATATATTCTTTTTAAACGTCTGGGTAAAAAACAAAACTTTTTCCCCCTTTGTACACAATATGTTTTAATTTGGGAAACATCTAAAATGTTTTAGAACAGTAAACATGTCAGGCGCAATAATGGAAATGAATTACTGACTTCAGCGGTCTTCATTTGTTTATTAAAATTATTACACTGGAATGAGAGTTTAGTTCCTGCATATCGGCCTAGAAAATATCAGCTTTTTATTTTCCATGTAACCACAGAAAAGTAAAGCATTAAACAGGAAAATAATCAAAACTAATATCAGTGTTAATTTAGTACAAATCAAGCTCTTTTAGGGTGCCTGCCTTTTTTTTGCGGTTCGTTAAGGCAGGTGTGAATGCAGCAATCGTACTCGAGTGCGCACAAAGTGGACCAAAAAAAGGGTACCGAGACCTGCTTGAAGAGGTACAATCAGCCAGTGCAGTCGTCCCTCCATAGTATAAAGCAACATTTTGTGTCTGCCGGTTTGTTTACTTGCGGGAGTTCATTGGCATTTTCCCGCACATGAATTCTGACCAATCGATAAGCAGTTTAGAAACTATGTTCAACAGCATCTGGACAATAAGAGACGTGGATTTTGTCGGATGACTGCATTTTGGTTCTTCTCAACTGGTTCGGACCAAAGCCAGCAGTGTGGTGTGAAAATGACCCAAAGACGGCAGAAAATGCTACAATGTGTCTTTTATTGACCTTGGTCTGGACCAAATGAAGCGAACTACAGGTGTGAAAGCATCCTTAAATATCAACAATAGCATCATTACTTATGTTGATTCAATTCACTTAAATGTTAAAAACGAAAGCCTCATATTATTTGATTTGATACGTTTAATAAAAGTAACATTTATTGACCTTTTAAGTAGGTTTTGGTGTTGCAATCGACTTAGAGTAGCTAACTGGGTCACATTTATTTATTTAGCAGACACCTTTATCCAAAGCCACTTAAAAATGAGAATAAAAGAAGCTTAAACCCCTCTTTAAAAAAGAACACTCCACTTTATTAAGGAAAATAAGCTCATTTTACTACTCCCTTCACAGTTTCACCATTTTAAAATCCATTCAGCCACTGCACTTTTAGTTTAGCTTAGCATAGATTATTGAATTAGATTAGCCCATAAGCAACACACTCAAAAAATAGTCCCCAGTAGGTAACATCCAAGGCATCCACCACATGGCATTATTAAACATTATTACACCAGAACGAGAGTATAGTTCCTAGCCATATTACCTAAGAAACATAAGCTTTTCATTTTCTGCCGGTCTTAGTACAGAATGTAACTACAGAAGAGTAAAGCATTAGTTAAATAGGAAAGTTATCAAAACTCTTTGGTCATTTTTTAAGCCAGATGCTAATCCGATTCAATGATCTATGCTAAGCTAAGCTAAAAGTGTCACCACCAGACCCAGAAATCGATTAAATAGATAAAAAAAAATAAATAAATAAAAAAAACGTTTAACTCTAGGAGAGTTTCCCAACGAGTTTCCCAACGAGTTTACCACTCGGACCCGATTTCGGCGCGATTGATTTGGGCCGGAATCGGACAATGAGTCCACAAGCATCCGGCCCGAATCAATCGGGTTCAGATGCGGCTGCCGTAAGAGAGCCGACGCTGCCGCATCCGCGCGGGAATCGGCCCAAGAGTAATGTGCGCTGCGGCCCGGAGCTGGCGCGACTCAGTATTTATATACCTTTATATAAAACCTTTTGGTATTACATTGGTACTTGATACATGGTATTACAACCCTTTGCTAAGCTAAGCTAAAAGTGTCACCCCCAGACCCAGAAATCGATTAAATAGATTAAAAAAATAAATAAATAAAAAACGTTTAACTCTAGGAGAGTTTCCCAATGAGCCTTTTTTTCCTTAATTTACTACAGCAGTAAATATTGAGTCATTTCCAGCTTGGGAAGCTAGTCATCTTGTCTGCGGAATATGTTTAATCTATAGCCGTATGCTCAGATTACTGGTGTGTATGTTTGTTTGAGTTGAGTAGATGAATGAACGCGTGTTTGCACTTGCAATTAGACTCAAAATTGACCCAAATTTTTGGTCCAGATGAGAGAATCTAAAATAACACTGCAGGACAAAAACAGGTCAAAGCTGTATATAGTCAATGCTGCATCAATGCAAAGTGTGTTTACTATTGTTTTAAGCTTTTCTGGCGTCACATAAGCTGCAGTCACTGTAAACACAGACAGAAAGGCCAGCGCAGGATAAAGCAAACGCTCTCCCCATCCAGAATGAAGAGAGTGAAGTCGGGTTATGGTGTTTGTTTTCAGGAGGCATCACTAAAGGTCAGCGTGTTTGCTTGTCAGCTAATTTATTAGCAGAAAGCTTTGTTAAACTCCTGGTGTGGCTTCAAAGAGCACTAAATCTCATTTAGAGCAAATATTTCGGCCGTTGTTTTGATCATCTCCTATTTTTCATCGCTCTCCCTTTGTTCCCTCGCTCTGCCAGTATTTGGTCTCTTCCTGTTCTCCGGTGATATCAGGTTCCTGCTCTTTTCTTTCATTCAGGCTTGTGTTCGGTGACCGAGGGCAGGCAT